TGGCCCATAGAGATCTACATCTATCTATTACAAATAAAAATGCAGACATTATCACCCGTAATGACTAAGATGGAATTCCTCATTTCCAGTAAAAAGAGTTTCCGGCTTAATGTTGTTATGTTTCTTATAGTAAGCGTAAAAAACCGAAAATTCTTTTAACTGGTAAAAAGACATTCTTAGAATAGAATATAAATTTTTTTTATTCAATATAGATTATACATGTAATTCTTATAGAAAGTCATTTTTTACTTTTACCATCCATCTCCATCTTACTCCATCTAAGTAGGTACCTTACTTACCATCAGGTGGACCCATCGTTTGTCACCATTGCTTCTATAAATCTACATATCTACATCACATATCATATACACATCTATACTAAACTATGTTTACAAAAGTGAATTTTCCTTTGTAAACGTAGTTTAGTATAGATTATATGAAAGTGGTTATATGATGTTAGGTATAGTCATTGTTTTATCTATTACTGCGCAGCTGCGTACTCGTATGTATAGTTAATATCTTTTTGCTGTTTAACAGGAGGCTTGCGAAGTGAGCGAGCGAAGGAAGGACAATGCATCCTACCGCCAGGTGACGCTGCCGTCTACACCCGCGGATCATGTCATGGGACTCTATAGAGTCACGCGACTTCCTTGGGTAGGTCTTGGCTAAAATATTTTTAAAAAGCATTTGATTTTTCGAGTCAAAGTACATATAATATGGTTACCTCATTATATGAAAACTGTCGCTTTTTTTACAACTTTTGATAGGAAATTATAGTTAGTTACCATATCTGTGAAATAAGATTGAAGAGCTGATTTGTAGGTGGGGGTTTTTTTGTTTTAGAGATATGGGTTTTGTTTTTTTCGGGGTGTTTTGTTGTCTTTTTTTATTATTTTATTATATTAGAGTCAAATACGGTTATCCTTTAAAACTTCATACCATAATAAAGCAGTAAGAAAGCAAAGTGAATAAATCGTAAAATGCAGCGTGTAAGTGTTGATGTTGCAGGCGACTAGCTTAATTAGACTTTAGTTAACAGCCTAGATTTTTTACTAAACCGCGCCGTTTAACTCCCACCATCGGCTTTCTCGTTGAATGAAAAGTGCCTAATTACGCGCTATGTGCAATATTACATAAATGTACGCGGCTTTAGGGTAGCCTAAGCTACATGCCAGACGTACCTCAACCTACTGTCGCTGATATTAAGATAGTTGCAATGTTGAGACCTATTGGCCGAATATCATTCAGGCCGCTAGTTGAACGACGCGGCGCCCTTTAGTAAAAAGGCTAGGCTATTGAGTGAAAGGCTAATTAAGGTCGATAACTTCCTAGCCGATTTTCGATCACGGTGACGAATTCGGAATCTGGTTGCAATTCTGATGGAATAATGTAACACCCAAGGTAAAAAAAATAAGATGATAGATATCTTTATAGATCTTATGGCTTCCGATAAATTGTGATACAACCATCACGCTTACGCAAAATTTTTGGTTGCTTAGGACGAAATTTTAAACACAGGGAGACATAACTGTCTCTAGACAAAATTTCTGTCACGGCGGCCGGTCTCATCGAAGACTAACCATCTGCGCAAGATGGATGGAAGATTATTGTGCACGAGTGTATACGCAAGCGTAAGTGCACTCTCTATTCCCTTACTCTCATAGTCCAATGAGGTCGGCAAACCGATACGGCCATAAAGAGATTAGGTGCAGGGCGAACTTTATGTGCTTATCGAGGCACTGGGGTATAACATGACCAACTTCCTGACCCCGGCAGGCAACCGACTATTTTTTTTATAGAATAAGGGTGACGAACGAGCATACAGTCCATCTGATGGTAAGTGGATGCTGTGGCCCATAGGCATCTACATTTATCCTCGATTATGAATAAAAACGCAGACGCGTTGTCACCCCTGAGAACTAAGATGGAATGCCTCGTTTCCAGTAAAAAAGGGTCGCTTGATCTCTGCACACACCATACGAAACACAGCAATATTAAGCTATTTTTTGCTGGTATTCTGTGAGAGCTTGGACTCATTCGTGCTACAACCATAATATAGCTGCAGCATGGCTTTACCACGTATAAAAGTATTTCTTGAAAGAAAATCCCAATAACCAATTTTGGACTGACACACGATTCAAACCAGGATCTCATGATGAGAAGTCGACAAGAACATACGAGAAAACGACGGTACCACTAGATCCGAAAATCAACAATTTTAACTTTCCATACATATTATTTCTGGTTATAGTTAAAATGTTAATTATCATTTTACATGTTGCAGCGTGATATGGTTGCAGTACGAATAGCTCGGTTCAACCGGGGAACAACTACGTTTGCATAGAACATCACTATACGTGGTAAAGCCATGCTGCAGTTATATTAGTAGTATAGTTGTAGCACGAATGGGTCGGCTCGACCGGGGAATGACCACGCTCTCACAGAATACCAGCATGAAATAGTAGCTTAACGCTGCTGTGTTTCGTATGGTGATTGTGGAGAGACCGGAGACTCTTTTTACTGGAAACGAGGCATTTCATCTTAGTCCTCACGGGTGACAACGCATCTGCATTTTGATTCGTAATCGAGGATAGATGTAGATGTCTATGGGCCGCAGCAACTACTTACCATCAGGTGGACTGTGTGCTCGATTATCACCCTATTCTATAAAACAAAACGTGTTGCCAACTGCATTTCTTTAGTTTTTAGTTGTTATTTGAAAGACGCTGCTGTCCATCTCCAGACATGTTTACCTCTGTCGCCATTTACGACGAATGATATTATGGTGTAAAGGATATTCTTATGCCGTCAAAACACGTTGACCAAACGAGCACTCAGTCCATCTAATGGTCCTTCGATTAAGAATCAAAATGCAGAAGCGTTATCATCCCCTTAACTAAAATGGAATACCTTGTTACCAGTAAAAGACAGCAGCATAAGCTTTTTCTTTGGTAAAACCAACCAATTCGTGCTGTGGCCAAAATACACAGCGTCACACTACCATGTAAAATATAAAAAAAACTCGTTGTTCCTACTTTTGGGACAAAAAATATTGCACTTAGACTTATTATTTCATATTTAAATAACAAAACTCAAAAAGTCGTTATCAATGGTAAAGGTTCCTCCGGATCAATGGGCATTCCTCAGGGCCCTATTCTTGGCCTATTCCTGTTCTTTGTCTATATTAATGACTTACCTTTTCTTGTAGGGGACAATCAAAATATCGTATTATTTGCTGATGATACTTCTTTAATTTCAAACTCAATCGACAGTCAATTAATTTCGACAATGTAAATAATGCTCTATCGGTATAAAACGTTGGTTTAACGCTAATGATTTACTTTTAAACGGCAATAAGACAAAATGTATTAAATTTAAAATACCTAATGTTAAACATTTAAATACCAATGTGCATTAAAATGTGGAAGAGTTGAGTCTTGTGGATACCACTGTTTTTATTGGTTTACTATTAACGCAAAACTTCAGTGGTACAACTGCCATATATCTAAATTACTAGGCAGACTTAGTTCTGCAGCATATGCTGTAAGGAAGATTAGAAGTCTCACCAATGTTGAGACAGCTAGATTAGTTTATTTTAGCGTAATATCTTATGGAATCTTACTATGGGGTAATGCGACTGGCATTGAAGTCGTACATGTTTTGCAAAAGAGAGTCGTACGGGCGATTTATAACTTAAATTGTAAAGTCTCTTAGAGAAAATTTTAAAGAAATAAACATATTAACTTTGGCATTGCAATATATTTATGAAAAAGTTATGTATGTACTTAAAAACATAAATAGCTTTCATAAGAATAAAGATGTTCATACTTTTAATACTAGTAACAAACATAAGCTGCTATTATAACCAGTTACTTAGACTCCATAGAATTAGTAATTCATTTATGGGGCAATGTATACTCTTTTAAAACAAAATTCCAGAAAATGTACAAAATTTGCCTTTAAACAGGTTTAAATGTTTCATTAAGGAAAATTGTACAAAAAGGTTTATTATAATATAAAAGAAAATGTAAATGAAAATAGCCCCTGGGAATGAGGTGATCCCCACCATGCTGGTTCTATAAAAAATTATTCAAAAATAATTGTACAAAGTAAATTTATTGTAAATTGAAATATGTTTAAAAAAGTCCCGCTGGGTTTCTTGCTGATTCTTCCCAGGACATAGTTTTCTTTTCGAACCAGTGGTAGATAAAAAAAAATGAATTTCAATAAGTATTATTCAATAATCTATATTGAATAAAAATTAATAATTTCATTTAATTTCATCCCACCTAATCCCCGCAATCTAAGGGGGAGGTCTATGTTCAGCAGTGGACTTTAATAGGCTGTAATAGAGTGGACTACGCAATATCACAAGTTCAAGGTAGCAACTAGAATGTCGTCTGACTCTAAATAGTTACAATAAAAACTTTACCACTGTGTTTCCACTGTTAGAAGCTGTATCCCTTCATCAAATTTTAAGGGCTCGGCCCTTGAGGTATTAGTCTATTTACTAAAAAAGTTCCATTAAAGTCAGTCCACAATAGGGAAGATATCGCGTAATATACATACCAAAAGCGACAAAAAGGTTTATTATAACAAAACATTTTGTACTTATTTAGTTGCAAATAAAGAATTTGAATTTGAATTTGAGACAGCAGCCTAATGGCAGGGCGCGGACCGCAAACTCAAAAAGGTCGTGGGTTCGAATCCATCATTCGACTACTGGCGTGAACCACTCGTAACACATGCAATTTAAGCTTACCACGAGTGGTTAAAGGGAATATTAGTAATGTTTATAGCATTGTTAATATTCTTTTTTTTAAAATACATTCGAATTAAGGTTTTTCTTGCTTTTGCTCCTATCCTATTAGACCCTATTCTATTGAGACAAAAATGAAACGAAATTTTAATTTCGTACATCGAAGAAATTATAATATTATATTTCACTTCACTTTATAGTCTATCTGCATATTAATATCGTGTTTTAATAACCCTTGCAGCGGGGTGCCGGCGCATCAATTGTCGGCAACACGGTTACTCAGCTCGCCGGATCCTTCTAGGCATCAGCTTGAAGATCCACCAGGTACGTTACAATCCTAACAATAATTGTTTCTTACAGTGATGTTTTAATTTTGATTTTGACTGCCTCGTTGGTCTAGTGGTTGTAGTAGTGCGACTGCTGATCATGAGGTCCTGGGTTCGAATCCCGGGTCGGTCCGAAAAATCAGTTATTGAGTTTTTCTGTCAAGAAATTTTCAGTAACTGCCCGAAGTCAGGAAGTTGGTGGTGTCCCACCCCCGTGCCTCGGAAAGCACGTAAAGCCGTTGGTCCTGCACCTGATCTCTCTCCCAGTCGTGTCGGTTTACCGTCACATCGGATTACGAGAGTGAGGGAATAGAGAGTGCACCTGTGCTTGCGCTTACACTTGGGCACTATAATCCTGCCCTGCACCAATGGCTAGCCTCTGTTGAGGCAGGCCGCCGTAGCCGAAATTCGGTCTGGAGGATATTATTATTATTATTTTAATTAAAAAAATACAAATTTCTTAAAAAGAACTCAAGGAGGAAATTTGAAAATCAGTGAGAATAATAAATTGAACACGAAAAAAAATCACGATTTAGTAATTTATATTTTAAATAAGTTTAAATTAATTAATTGATTCAATTGCATCATTAAATATAGGGTTAAGTTCAGTGAAAATAAAAATACTTAAAACGATGAAAGTTTCGTTTCTTATAAATAAATAGAACGAAAGGTGTGGTAGCGGCATTATAGAATCCTTTATCAAGTGAAGCATTGAAAAGGCGACTATGAGACATGCTAAAAAGATCTCATGGCTTATGGTAGACATAAAATCTCTAGATCGATGATGGTGAGCATCGTCAAAGGCGCAAGACATCTGGATCTGCGGTTACCAAATCCACCTGCAAAGAGTGACAATTAAAGCAAATTCTATCTACGACGGAAGAGGTCTATATTCATCAAAAGCTTTAGGAAGTTTACGGACTAATGAAGAAAAAAATATCATTAAAATACGGCGATGATTTTCTTTTATCTCTGCGGATCGTACATTATCATTAAATGACAAGAAAATAAATTTCAGAAGATAATAAATAATGAGATGAATGAAAAAATGAGAGTTGTATATACAACATTGATTCTTACATTCATTCAATACTGTCAATCAAAAGTGTACTACTGAATATAGGCCTTGCCATAAATTACTCCATATAGGGATATTTATCATAGCTGCCACGCTTGGCAGACGAGTTAGCGACCGGTATTTGTTTTTTATTTCGGTATATAACTGGAAAATGTTGCTGTCAATCACCTATTTCCTTCTCTCGCTTCTTACGATACTCAGGGGATGATATGGGATTAGTGGATTCTCGCCGCCACTATATACGGTATAGTCTTATTATACAACGTGTAACAAAAACCCTGTAGTTCGAGTTATCTGCGTGATCAGAATCAGTATCCAAGCATATAGAAATAATTTTCCTCAAAATAAACCCATTTAAAAAAAATTAATGAAAGAAAATTAATTTGGAAATTGTATGTGGTTTTATTATCTCTGCATTGGCCTAGGAGTCCTCAGCGAGCTATGGAGAGGGCTATGCTCGGAGTTTCTCTGCGTGATAAACTTAGAAATGAGGATATCCGCAGTAGAACCAGAGTGACCGACGTAGCCCAACGGATTAGTAACCTGAAGTGGCAATGGGCCGGCCATATAGCTCGAAGAACCGATAACCGTTGGGGAAAAAAAGGTTCTCGAGTGGCAGCCTCGTACCGGTAGGCGAAGTGTAGGGTGACCCCCCACTAGATAGAGTGACAACCTGGTAAGACATGCAGGAAGTCGATGGATGCAGGTGGCTTAGGACTGTGCTTTGTGGCATACCTTGGGGGAGGCCTATGTTCAGCAGTGGACTTTTTTTTCATTAAAATTATTTTTTTAAATTGTGTTTTTTGAAAAGAAAATTATTTCTATACGCTTGGATACTGATTCTGATCGGGAACCACAGGGTTTTGTTACATATTGTATACATCGCAATAAACTAGCAGCAGTAACTAACAGCAATAAACTAAACCCAGTAGTTTAGTATAGTACATTAATATAGCTCTTATAAGACGTTTTCAAGCTACTGGACTGGAAAGGATACGGTATTAACATCAATGGCGAGTACATCACTCACCTTCGATTTGCCGACGATATAGTCCTTATGGCAGAATCGCTGGAGGACCTTAGCACTATGCTCAATGACCTCAATGGTATCTCCCAACGGATAGGTCTTAAGATGAACATGGACGAAACAAAGATTATGTTCAATGTCCATGTCACACCTATGCCGGTAGTTGTGGGGAGCACTATGCTCGAAGTTGTTGACGAGTACGTTTACCTGGGACAAATAGTCCGACTAGGTAAGTCCAACTTCGACCGAGAGGTCAATCGACGGATTCAACTCGGCTGGGCAGCGTTCGGGAAATTACGACACATCTTCTCGTCAGGTATACCTGGTATATCAATCTCTGAAAACTAAAGTGTACAACCAGTGCGTGTTGCCAGTGATGACTTACGAATTAGAGACGTGGTCCTTCACTGCTGGCCGTAAGAGGACGCTCAAGGTCGCTCAGCGAGCTATGGAGAGGGCTATGCTCGGAGTTTCTCTGCGTGATAGACTCAGAAATGAGGATACCCGCAATAAAACCAGAGTGACTGACATAGCCCAACGGATTAGTAAGCTGAAGTGGCAATGGGCCGGCCATATAGCACGAAGAACCGATAACCGATGGGGAAGAAAGGTTCTCGAGTGGCAGCCTCGTACCGGTAGGCGTAGTGTAGGGCGACTCCCCACTAGATGGAGTGACGACCTGGTAAGACATGCAGGAAGTCGATGGATGCAGGTGGCTCAGGATCGTGCTTTGTGGCATTACTTGGGGGAGGCCTATGTTCAGCAGTGGACTTGTGAAGGGCTGTAATGATGATGATGATGATGATAGCTTTTATGTCTATGAGAATACAAATACCAATTATCGTTTCTAAAATCATCATCACTGGATTTGCCCATTACAAGTACATTGTTGAACAGAGCTGAGGCTTTCAGAGACGGTTCTGAGCCATCTGCATCCATCGACTCTTTGCATGCTCATCAGGTCGTCCCCTTATAGTATAGCGTGAGATGTTCTAACCTCCGCTTGTTCGTACGAGGTTGCCACTTAGGAACCTTTTTTTTACACATAGTGGCGGTTCTTTAAGCTATACAACCGGCCCATTATCTCTACACGCAGATCAATAAAGTAACTACAGAATATTGTCGGATTCTATCAAGCATAAAACTCCGTGCATTTTCTTCATAGTACTATAAGCAACTTTCAGCTTCCTCTTCTCCCAACAACAAAGACCACGTCTCAGTTTTAAGTCATTACTGACAACATGCATTGGTACACTTTTGTTTTTGTTTTAAGCTTAAAAAATAATAACATAATTAAGTAGCACATAATTAAGTAACATTATTAAGTAGCACCTAAAATTATTTTAAAAGATGTTCAAGACGCATTGTTTTTTGTTTTCAGAGCTATATCCATTCGCAGAAGACTATCCGGGCGAAAGAAACGGCGCTCTACGATGGGGCTCCCGCTTCGGGCCCGCGCACCGCCCGCCGGCCGCCGGCCTCCTAGAATGTTTCCGCGGATGCCGCTCCAGGCTCGATCAGTACTTGGCGAGGAGGAAGGTACTTCAGACGTAGAGTAGTCTTTCTCAACCATTTTTCACGGTGAACTAAGGGCCCACTTACAGAAGTAGAGAATAATACAATAATGATTGTAGCAGCGTACCGCCTGGCAAGGCCGCCATGTAATATAAGAAAGGTGTCAATGAGGAAAGGTGTGACTGGTATTAGGTCTTTAATTGGACTACTCCTTATTCTACCCTGACCGTGTGTGAGAATATCCACTACCCCATATCATCCCGTGGGTGTCGTAAGAGGCGACAGAGGAAGACAGGCAGGAGATGGGCAGCAGCGTCTTCCTAATAACGACTAAAATTAAAAACTGCGGTTGCCATCCCGCTTGGCAAGCGTGGAAACTATGGGGGGGATCCCTATGAATAAATTTATCGGGGAGACCTATTTTCAGCAGTGGACTTTAATAGGCTCTAAGGGTAAACAAATCAGGAATTCTACCTTGAAACCAATATAATTTGTATATTCGTGGGGCTACACTACAATAATATGACAATACTATGTTTCATTGAAAAAGTTACACTAAAGAACAACATAAATATATTTCATATTTTATTTACCATTGACTTATACATTACTAGCGTAAGGATAGACCCATATAAATAATTTACTCATAACATTTTCATACAAGAAAAAGGAGCGCATCTGTCATAATTCAAACGTCATAACACGACGTAACCGGGGTCGGATTTTGAAATATAATTATACAATTTTTCCATTATTTCATAGTGTGTAGTATCTTAATAAAACTAGGCGAAAATACCGTAATTTTATTTTAAGGTCAACCGACTTGTATTATTATTGGGTCCTTTTACTATTTAATATTAACCCTACAATATCGAGAATTTCTGTATTGTACGTGAGTACTGCCTTGCATAGGTCGACGACATAACTTTGTATATGCATACATGATTTTTTATCACATTTTATCGTAGTTGGTTAGTATAACTCAGTTGCAAGCCGATACATATAACGATTTCCTTTTTTGCGATGATATTTTACAGGTAACAAAGAAAACGTAAGTAAAACAAATTAATCTCAAAGAGCTTTAGTTGAAGTTGTAAACAAGTTAATTTTGTTATATGTAATTTTGTTACAATAATTAAGTATTAGAATATTTTAAAAGCCGAAAAAAAAAGACGAAAAAGTTTGGATATTTTTGTGTATAACATTACAATTATTGTCCTTTGAATAAAACAATTTTTTTTAATCTTTGTCTTTCAGTTCCCTTCCCCGTGTTTTCCATGATTGACTCGTGATGCATACTGACATTTATATACTTCTTAATTATGGCTCAAATAAGGTGCAATCTATGATTCAATGTTGCCGGCTGATCAACAGTGTGCAATTTTATAACAGTGAAAGTACTCTTTCCTATAAACTTTGCTAGAGTTTTTGTTGACAGAAACATATAGTCACTTTTTGCCATAAATTGTAAATATATAAATACATCAAACAGGTCCGGAGAAGGAAAGCAAAGTCCGCCCATATTTGTTAATTCAATCAGTTTATGAAAGAATAATTTTTCATTACTAACCAGACTGTTTACACAAATTTCACACTTAATCTTTTTTGTTAAACTTCTGGCTACCCATCCGGCAATATACCCAATAATGAGTTCTATATTCTCTGTGAGGTGCCCAAAGACGTTTTCAGTTGGGTTATCCAAAGTATGCGATAACTGTGCACAGTTATTTGAATAAACTACATCATTTTCCTCCTGATATGTTCCTGTCGATGTGTCCATGGGCTTGTCTTCTTCTGCGTGACGATTCATTTCAGTGTTGCAGTTAATAGCATTTACAGATGAGACAGTTAACATTGGAAAATTATTCAAAGGAATACTGTTTCCAGTAAATGACGATTTTAATGATAAGTGGTTCATGCAACGCCTATACGCTCCTTTGAGTTGTATAGCGTTTGGGTTATCATTGTATCCACCGTGTTTTCTTATCAAGCTAAAAATAGCTCTAAATGATCCTGAGACAGGCGATTCGTCGAAATGTACTTCAATTCAGAATTCGACTCAACTAAATTTAAATAGAGGAGTTTTAAACTTTCTAAGCACACAATCGATCCTAAGAATCCCATTTTGCTTCTAGATTCCAAAATATTTTTTTTTCTAATAATCATCATAATTCGTGGTGGTCTGTTATGTCGTTTAATCTTTCTTTTCACATTAGCAAAAAATTTTAGAACTTTAATGTAACCAATAGCCTCCTCAATAAAATTAAATATTTTTTTCTTTATTTTTTGGAGAAATGGCTCTCTTTTATCCAGATTGATTGAATCTGAGAGAATTCAAAATATCGAATATATTATTGAATAAATTAATGAAATCGACTGTCGCACTACTTTCTGAAAAATAACTACATTGTAATATTTCGTTGCAGAGTGTCAGTGCTTTTGCAACACTTCGGCTTAGCAATTGAGTCGCTAATTTAACTTTCATTATTTGGTTTTTAAAATATATGTGTCTGTAGGTCTGTCTGTGTACAAAATTTAGCCGCTGGTTTGTTTGGAGTTTTAAGAGCCGAATCAAAAATTTCCATTCTATTCGCTGATCTTTCTCGTTGAAAATTTTCTTTTTTTTTTCAAACGCGTTCCTTACTAACTTTATCATGTGACATGCGTCCATGAAAACAACAATACTTACTTATGTAACAGGGTGAGAGAATTTTGTTTTTAATTGACCTGTAATACTTATGTTGCAACCCAGAATGTTTGCAGCTTTAACATTCGTAGAACATCCATCGAATGTGAAAGCTTCGACATTGACACCGACGGAATTACATTTTTCAAGTCAAATATTGAACCGTCACTATAATTAACCGACTGATATTTTCCAATTTTCAGAAAGACTAACGAGCATCATTACAAAAGCTTTAGTGGCTTTCTTTTCTTTGTCAATTTTTTCATACCCCATGTCTACGTGACCAACATTTCTTTTGCCTTTCCATAATTTGGCCTGTCGAATGTTCATCTCATCAAAAATTAGACAGCATTCAACATTTTCTGACATACTGTCCCTCTTGAGTTCAATCATTGAATGAGTCATTTCAAACGATTCCTGTGTGAATCCAGGTTCGCCGTTAATGGAGCTATACCTATAACAAAGAGTACAATCAAACCTATGAAGTAAAACATATACGCGTCCAGTTTATAACACATAACTAACAAGTCTTTATTAGTTTACCATTTAGTCAAGGTTTTTGGGTGAGGAAGACAACAGTAAAATTTTCGCCGTACATATTTATAGGCAGATGGAGAGTAAAAATTTAATGTCATTAGCAAATTTTCGAAGGGCAGGTGGATAAGACGGTCGCTTTGTTTTTCTTGGCTTGTTTCTATTTCTACTTTATTTATTTGTCATCTGTAAAGCTCTGTTATTTCGGCTTTTGTTCCAAGAGCAGACTCAATTTCCTCTGTGATATACTTCTTCTGTTTCAAATCTTTAATTATATATAGCAGTGATTTGTTTTTCTTTTTTAACCTAGCATTCCGTTTTTTTTTTAATTTTTTAATTTTCTTAGCTGAAACCCTTTGACGTTTTTCTAACCTATGAATTCTGTCTTTTAGGTGTACTTCCCTTGTCGTGTCAAATATTGAATTGAGATCGGTTGAAGGCCGGAGTTCATCGTTCTCACAAACCTGTAAATAATTTATATAGATAGGGTTCTGAATATGGAGAACAAGTAAAAAAAAAATATTTTGCTGTAGATAAGTAGGTATGCAAAAGACCAATACCTCAGTCTCCAATCGCGGTATAGCCGATCCTTTCAGCCTTCGTAGTCTGGCTTTTGAAATATCAACATCTTTGTCACAAAAATGAGCAGCGTTTTTATGAGGCATGAAACTAGGCTCTTTTCGTTGTTCCTAATAATACGACTCCAAATCTCTTTACGTGTTGAATCATTTGGAAATCTGTAATTTATAAATTATTTGAAACGCAATTTGTCATCGCACATGTATAAACATTCTTTATAAGTCTTCGCCTATCCATTTTTACCAGAAGCTTGATGACGGCAGCAGCTTCTCCAAGTTTGCGTGTTAAAAAGAAAACAGAATTTCAAAATATTTTGTGAATCAGATTTTCAGTTTCAATTAAGTAGTTATTGTATATTTTGTACTTCTTTCATTTTACCCCTATTGAATATAGAAAAAATTAGGTACCAATGTTCAAAATTTAACTCACTCTAACGTCATACAAAATAAAATAGAAATAAAAATAAAACCGTCAAATAACTAAACGTATAGATTATTCACGTGATGCCAATATATCGGCGAATGGAAAAAGAAACATGAAATGTCAACGTGGTATAATTTTGGATAATAATATTTTGAAAATAATATAATTTTATTTTCCATGTACAATATTTTTGAGGGTCTGAATCCAACCCTGGCGTAATCTTGGTAACGTAACTAAGCTAACTAAATGTAAAACTGTGTGTTGAAAATGCGTTTATATAATAATTTAATTATAACAAAATTAATGTAAGGTTTACTTACTTATAATAAGATATCCCATGTTTCTTTTATTTCCTTGTATCGTAATTTTTGCATCCATTTACAACGCAACTAGGCTTATTTATGACAAGATGACAATCAAATCTGTCCTGCGCGCGCACCACTGACGAACGATTCGCGTTGGCCCTAATTTAGGGCCAACGCGAATCGTTCGTCCTGGTCCTGTCACTGGTCCGTTTTAGTTGTTCGGTCAGCCCGGTCCTTACGCTAGTAATATATAAGTCAATGTTATTTACAGCATTTTTTATGTAAATTACTAAAATTTAATGTCAAAATCGACCTTATTTCTTTCGCTACTAAATTGTTATTTTATGATCTATCCATATAGCCCAATTTGGAATCTCGTTGCGTACCTCTGTATTTATGACTGCAGTTCTAGTGTGTAGTCAACCTGCTAGTATGTCGGTGTTCTGTAAGATACACCTTAGAGCTTAGAGAGTGCGAGCAAGTGTTGCACTCACTAAACTACGACTTGAACGGATGTTTTGGTGGTCGTAGTGTTTACGTACAGCTCAATTTTATCCTTACATAGATTTAAAAAGTGTCTTCGAGGTGTAAAAAAACTACGTTACTAATAGCTCAGCTAATGATAGTAAATCTTTCCTTACGTCAGGCTTCCCTAACACATTTTATTAATTAACGAAATAATCTAGTAGGTAAAGGTAGAGCCTAACTGCCGAGGCGTAGAGCCAAAGTAGGCCCAAGCTAGCTAAATTTTAATAAGTCGTTGCCTGTGTTGTGTTTGGTTGATAGATCGAACGCGGCGTGCGCCTGTACGGGCAGAACGAGCAGCGGCTGGCGGTGAAGGTGTGGCTGTCGGCGCTCCGAGGCGTGCGGCACCGCAGCGACAAGTTCGCACTGCTCGGCCACCTCTACCAGGCGTACATGGACTTTGGAAAGTACAGGTTGGCAACACTAATATATTTTGCTACATAATCTCTACATCCTTTTAAAACCTTACTTTGTTGCCAATTCCTGTAACAATATACTTTTGAAAGATTTTCTTAGAAAAGAATATACCATAGTATTTATTACAAACAAAACTCTATCTTAAAAGACTTTTTATGATAGTAATTCTAAACAAAAATAGTAAAAATACTATAGAAATGACACTAGACTAGAAATACTACAATCGTTAACGTGGTAGAGCCATGCTGCAGCTATATTGTGATTGTACAAATGGATTGGCTCGTCCGCGGTAGGACTAAGCTCTCACAGTTACCGGCCTAAAATAGCAGCTTAACGTTGTTGTGTTTCGTATGGTGAGTGTAGAAAACCGGAGACATCTTTTTACTGGAAACGAGGCATTCCATCTTAATCCTCAGGAGTAGCAACGCATTTAGCCACAGCATCCACTTATCATTAGGTGGACTATGTGCTCGTTTGTCACTCTTACACTATTAAAAAAGTTTTAAAAAAATCGTTGAGGTCTAGGGTAAATAAATCTCCAAGGAAGTAATTAGGTTAGCATCCTTAGTAATAACAATAACAGACTTGTTAAAATACTAGCTTTGATAACTATTGAAACAGAAACAGAAACAGAAACTTTTTTATTCAATGTAGATTATAGCAATACTTATTGAAAGTCACTTTTTTTAATTTACCTCTGGTTCGCAAAAAAAAACCTCTGTCCTGGGATGAACCAGCAAGAAACCCAGCGGGACTATTTTTTTCCAATAATAGCTTACAATCATGTTTACAATTAATAACACAAGACAAATTAGAAATAGCTTGGTAGCGATCACCCTTTATTGAAAGTAAAATAAGTCCTGTGTATTAAAGGAAAAAAGTAACGATACCAACGAAAGATAACAAATGACCACACAGCCACTTACCTAATGGTATTATAAGAATTAAAACCCTCGCCAATGAATCGCCAAGAATTTCGCCATGAATGCCTCGTTCCCAGTAAAAGATGTCCGGTTCTCGTCACTTATCATACCAAACACAGCAGCATTACGCTGAAATTTTACGCTGGAATTATTAAATTTACTTTTAAATTATATATTTATTATAATTTATGGACATATTGCCCTTAGCACAATTTAAAAAAGACGAGCAGACTAAATGACTTGTACTTTAAGTGCTATTCTAAGTTTCAATAAAACAAGCAAGTTTTGCAATAGCTACGGTCGGAAGGTTTAAACCTAAAAGAAAATTGCGACCCCTCAAGGCCTTTAATTGTTAAATTGACTATAGGAAATGACTGAAAAATCTTTTACTGTTATCTCATATCTATGTATAGTACCAAACCATCGATAAAAAGCAGAGTTAAAAGTTATTAAAAAGGCAATCCCTCTACCATGCGAGGTACTACAGGCAAATAATCTTTTACGACGGTGTTGAAGAATTCAAATTCAATACACATCTGTTTTGCAGAGAGTCCTTAGAGTTCGCCAACCAGCAGCTGGGCATATCGGAGGAGCTGGACTCGGCGCCAATGCGTGCGGAAGCGTATCTGAATCTGGCACGAGCACATCAGACTCTCGGAGGACTTGACAGGTACATATTTACACAACTTGCTATGTAATAAGGGAATTTTTAACTCTATTTCATCCTATGAATGTCGTTAATAATTCATTGTATAACACACGTGATATTGCCATTCGTTTGTCTTCCTTATTATATAATAAAATATCACACACACTTGATTCAATGCCATAAGTGACGGCGATAATATTTTAACTGAAGATCTGGTGGCCTTATGGTGAGACTACCAGGCTACTAAGCCGCTTATCTTATCTTGGATGCGATTCCACTACCGATGCCAACATAAATCCCTAAACAAATTGTTAATTTTGTGGATCTGGGGTTTTTTTTTAAATTATGTGCGAGCAGCTATGTAGATCTAGGGAAAGAGTATCACTACGACCTAAAAGATCTATTGTGATCGCTGCTATGGCTATAGTTCACTGCTAAGCCCTATGTCTTCTATGAATAGAGGGAGTTGCTTAGCTGTGAGCAATTTCACTTCTGGGCGGAGTACATAGTTTCCCAGATGAGTGTTATGTTTGCGCATTAAGAGTCCGCAATCAGTTAGGATGCGCAGAAGCGTTGAGTTGCTTAGTCCCAGGATGGACATGTGCTTTTTAAGACAACAATGTCCAGTTAGGGCTCTTGCCAGAATGCGCAATTTATTTTTACTTAATTCCAGAGCTTCTAAAGCGAATTTACGATCAAAAGCCCGGATAAAGGTTTTAGAATGTTTTAAGTCTGGTGTGTCAGACCAGATCTTAAGTGGTTTATTATGATAAAGAATTTCAAGAGTCAATCGGGCTAGGCTTTTGGAGATTTCACAAAATTGTTCCGCTCCAAATTGTGTAAGTACTCTTTGAGTCCTTTCGTGCGAGCTTGTCGGCAAATTTATTGCCTACAATAGCCGCGTGACCCGTAACCCATCTTAAAACGACCCTGTTGTTACATCCCCGGGGCGTTTAGATAGTTCACGCAGTCTCCACTCCAGCTAGCATCGAGTTCAATAAGTTTAACCTCAGCGTTAGCAGAGCTATCTAGTTTATCTTCTAGTCTATCTGGACTGTCAAAGTATATAAAATTTTTATGGTTGACGTAGTGCTTTTGCAGATTTATTTCCGCACACTGAAGTATGGCGAAAATGTCTGCCTGGAAGATTAAGGTCAATCTACCCATATTCATACTAAGTTTGAATTCGGGGCGTTCCTCATCAATTCCAAAGTCTACGTCGAGGCCCATTTTAACCCATCGGTATACCATATGAGGCTACAAACCTCACAGATGACCTGGCCCTCCAGCCAGTTTTCTTTGGAGGGGAGTTCCACTATATACTTTTATTAAAAGTATATATTGTACGCATGGTATCTAAGATCATGCATAAGACCGGTGTCACCTTAATTAAATCGATCATGGGTGTTAATCCTATACAAACTAGACCTCGCCTCCTTGTCTAGATAAAGATTAAGGGGTGTTAGAAGTACATTAAGAGCCGCTCCAGGTGATGATCGCATCGCTCCAGTTGACATTAAGCAGGCAGTCCTTTGTAGACTATTTATTCTGTCCGCAGTTATCTTTTGGTTAGCCTTATTGCACCAAACGGTAGAGGCGTAGGTAAGACTAGGCCTCACTATGCTGCTATACGTTATAGAACCATACTTGGACGCAAACTCCAGTTGTTCCCGACTAAGCGACTGCACGTACCTAAAGCAATTTTTGCTTTATGGCATACGTTGCTAAGGTAAAAGTTCCACATTAGTTTTTGATCGATTATTACGCCCAAGTACTTAACTTTAGTGGAGAATGGTACTTCTTTACCATTGAGTTTTGGTGTGACTAATTTGTGCAACCATCTCTTTTTGATAAAGGGTATTATAACAGTTTTATCAGCATTAAGTTACCATCAGGCTTTTTAAGAAGCCCGATCTGATTAGGTTTAACTTTGGAAAGCATTTTATGTAGTCTTGCACTGCGAGGCAAAAACTCAATTTTCGCATAGCTTTCTCCATGATTCTCTCTTGGCTTTCCTAATTTCTTTATTTTATTCGGTTAGGGCTATATTATATCCCACCCTTTGTTCTTTGGTTTTTTTAGCCCTGTTGAATAGTTTCCTGGTCTTTTCCCTAAGCTCCTTTTCCTTAGTTGTCCACCAAGAAACTTTTCGTGTTGAGAGCTTGGATTTGACAGAACAGCTGTCCTCGAAAGCATCACGGATATCTATGGTTACCGTCTCCGTCGCTAACTCCAGACCTTTAATCGTTTTAGTGCTCTTAGGAAACGTTTTAAAATTCCTCCTTAGGCTATCTCTGTAGACATCACAGGAGGTCGCTTATGGATCTGTAAAAGCAACAATTTCATAAGTTGGTGATGCTCCAATCACAAACTTAATATGTTTGTGATCAGTTATCGAGTTTCCGCTACTACCAGTCAGTTATCTACCTGGATATGTTATTGGTAATAAAGGTTATATCTACCACTTCTTGCCTAGCACGCGTTACAAAGATGGTGTACACCCTAAGTTTAGGCCTACCAGAGAGTTGGAGATGAGAAAGTCATAAATTAACTCACATCTTTCGTTGATATTGATGCTTCCCCAGGCTGTGTGGTGAGCATTAGCATCACAACCCACCACAAGTTCGGCGTTGTGTTTTCGGGTGAACTCCGCCACTCGCTCTAACTCGATGGTAGGATATGAGTTCGCTCCGGGAAGATAGGCTAAGGCAAATGATTACTCTAGCCCCTATGCATCACTTGAGATTTATAAAAACTGTAACCAGGTCATCGTTGCAGTACTCTGAAACACTTAAAATTTCAATGTTTTTATTGTAAATTATGCAAACTCTAGTTCCGCTGTCTTTAGTATTAACTAAGATCTTATCAGCAGCCGACAATCCTAAAACTTGACCATTAGCCACCAAGGTTCTTTGTATCAGGGCGAGGACAATGTTGTCCTCTGCAAAGCAAACCTCCACCACAAAACCGATCTGGTGGTTGGAAATTTTCTTTATTTCCCTGTCATTTATTCAATGTGACACCTATGTGAACACATTTGTGAAGTTGACGGCTTCTCGTAATTCAGAAGTTAACATAATGACAAATGGGCTAGGAAGACTTTATTACCTTACATACATAAGAGACTTTAGCCGGCATCGGACTGTTAGACTTTTTATTTATTCCAGGGCTCTGTCGTACGCCCGGCACGCGCTGTACAATGATTGCGGCGGCGGCTCCACGGCGGGCTGCGTGCACCTCACAGTGGCGGCCGTCAACCTCGAACTCGGAGCCTTCTCCAAGGCGATGGACGGATTCCAGAAAGCTCTAGCAGTTGCTCAAGCGCAGAACGACAACACGCTTCTTCTTCAGGTAATATTGATATTAAAAGAAATTGTTTATTTCTTTTAAAATATATCACACATTACATTGGTATGGGAGTAAGTGAGACATCCTTTTAAGTAAATATATACTTTTGGCAGGATGTCCTGCTCTTCTATAACTAGAATTACATTTTTGTTTATTATTTAAATAACTTTAATTACATTTATTAAACACAAAAAAAATTAAAAAAATACAAGAAACTAAGCTTATATTGTTTTGTTTTTATTTTGTTGTTTCAGATTTCTTGATTCCGTTTAGATTTTCACAACATCTATAGGCCATTTACTGTTATAATTTGGTATCTTTTTTTTTTGTATTGTGTATATGGTATCTTTTATTATTTCTAATGGGCCCAAAAATGATTCTCTCCTTCATAATCTTTTTGTTTTGTTGTATGTGAAATTAAATCAGCCTCATACCTAAACGTAAGCCCACGGCCTGAGTAAACCATCAAGTTCCCAAGTGGCGGTCTCGTATCGGTAAGCGTAGTGTAGGGTGGACCCCAATAAATGGGGTGAAGACCTGGTAGGGCATTAAGAAAGTTGTTGGACGCAGTTAGAATAAGAATAGCAAACCGTGTTTTGTGCTATTCTTTGGTGGAGGCCTATGTTCGGTTATGGACTTGTGCAGGGATGTAATGATGATGAAGATGATGATGTACATACACAGATATCTTCTTTAGAACAAACAGCATCCGATTCGTTTGAACTTTAAATATGTCAAAATTTGGACTTTGGAAAATCGGACTATTACTATTATTTAGTACTATTACAATAAATTCCTACTGGGAAGCACTCACATGCATTTAGTGTGCTCCCGAGTTATTTATAGCAGCGACTAGCTAGCAAATCAATTGTTCAGAAAAACAGACAGATATGGCCCGTTTCATAGTTAGTTCCTATGAAGGGCTGTAGTGATGATGATGATGATGTTGATGTTTCATTTTCATATATCTTTTTATAATTTTATTATTTATGTTAAGAAGACTAGAGATGACCTTAGCCATCCGGGTGCCCGGTTGAAAAAATTAACCTCCCGTACCCTTCTTTAGTATTTTACTTTACTTAGTAATCCCTATAATCCCACTTAATTATAAGTAGTTTTATTACGTGGTAAAGCCGCGCTGCAGCTATATTATGGTTGATGTACGAATGGGTCATTTTTAAGCTGGTCGGCTCGACCGAAAAAGGACCACGCTCTCACATAATACCAGCGTAAACTAGCAGCTTAATACTGTTGTGTTTCGTATGGTGAGTGCAGAGATTCGGAAACCCTTTTTTACTGGAAACGAGGCATTCCGTATTAGTCCTCAGGGGTGACAACGCATCTGCGTTTTTGATCGAGGATAAATGTAGATCTCTATGGGCCACAGCATCCACTTACCATCAGGCGGACTGTGTCATCCTTATTTTATAAAAAAAAAGTAGTAATGTAACCCTAGTTGGCTATGAAATCAGATTAATTCCTTTGTCAAGACGACGCTCAGCTGTGGACTTTTGACATGCTGTAATAAATGAAGGGCTAAAATTATATGCCTTGTTTTCTTCCTTATTGTCCCATATAGGTTTGGGACTTTAGCAAAAAAGAATGTGCAAACTAAGTTACTTGCCTACTATGTAGAGTAGGATGTAGAGAATGGCCTAACCATCCATTACTTATTTTACAATTTTCCATTTATAGCCATATATTTAGCTAAACGTTTTCCGAGTAGTTTGCTGTTCTTTGTACCTTGCTTTCGGGGATTACAAGCGTGATGCTATACAAAATAAAGTTAGTTATTCTGTATACGTTCCACTGCTGGGCAAAGGACTCCTCGCATTTCTGTGTGAGGAGAACCCCCTCAAGTGCATGGTTTTAGGACAGGGCAATGTCCCCCGCGCTGCTCTAAAGCAAGTTGGCAAACTTCTCGCCTTTGGAATACTTTCTTGATTTCTCAGACATACGGGATTGCTCAACATGTTTTTCTTTACTGCTGAGCACTTGGAGTGTTAGAATATTTATTGATGTTGGTGGGAATTGATTCCTGGTTAATTACGTAAGAAAAATACAGCGAGCGCTTAACCCTTGAGTTACCACGGCTCTATTTTTTATAGAATAAGGTGTGTAAGGTGTGTATGAACCCACATTTCATCTGATTGTAAGTGGATTCTGTGGCCTATAGACATTTACATGTCATCGATTAAGAATCAAAATTCTGATGCATTGTCACCCCTGAGGAGGACTAAGATGGAATGCTTCATTTCTAGTAAAACGGGTCTCTGGTACACTTACTAAACGAAATACAACAGCATTAAGCAGGTATTTCACGCAGGTATACTGTAAGGTGGTCCTTCTCCGGTTGAGCCGAACCATTCGTGCTACAATTATAAGTTGCTGCAAAATGGTTCTACGTCGTACTCGTATAATTATGCATGTCGAATGTCCGTAAATCTCAGCAATAAGTTGTTCCTAAGTTGTTCCTCTGCTGATTAAGGGCCACATAGGGAAAAGTAAGGAGTCCCGGTTGAGCCGACTCATTCTTGCTACAATTATGATATAATGTCCTCCAGACCGAATTTCGGCCACGGCGGCCTGCCTCAACAGAGGCTAGCCATCGGTGCAGGACAGGATTATAGTGCCCAAGTGTATGCGCAAGCACAGGTGCACTCTTTATTCCCTCACTCTCATAATCCGATGGGACGGTAAACCGGCACGACCAGGAAAGAAATCAGGCGCAGGACCAACGGCTTTACGTGCTTTCCGAGGCACGGGGGTGGGACACCGCCAACTTACTGACTCCGGGCGGCTACTGAGAATTTCTTGACAGAAAAACTCAATAATTTATTTTTTGCCCCGACCCGGGATTTGAACCCAATACCTCATGATCAGCAGTCGCACTACTACAACCACTAGACCAACGAGGCAGTTGTGTGTAATTACAAGCAAATGGTAGAGCCACACTACCTCGTACGTACACGTACGAAGTGAAACTTCTATACGACATTAAATCACTCTTCTTTTATTTTATATTTTACTAAGTAGGCTACATTTTACAAGTTAAACGTTACAAGAAAACGTGACATTTTTGTGTTATAATATCATACTAAATTTGTCCACTACGTCGATAAAGAAGTTTTACTTCAATAAAGATTGGGTATATGTATACGTATGTGAAGTTCGCCAACACGCACTGGGGCAGCGCGGCGGACAATTCCCTGCCCTAAAACCCTTTCAGAAATGAGCCTGGGGAGGCCTGTACCCAGCAGTGGGACGTAATATATAGGCTGTAACTTTTATATGTATACGTGTGCAAGGTGTACGTGGGCCTGTCGGAGCTGTGGCGGCGGCTGCGCGACGCGGAGCGCGCGGTGGCGTGCGCGGCGCGCGCGTGCGACCTGGGCCGCGGGCCGCGCGCCGCCGACCTCAACACGCGCCACCACCGCGCCGCGCTGCTGCAGATGGCGGCGGCCTTGCGCGCGCGCGGCGAGCTCGGCGACGCGCACGACTACTGCCACGTGAGCACTACCCTATACGAAAACTTATCCCTACAAAAGTAATGGTCACTGTTTGGTCGTCTAGCGCCGATGTGATTTATCACAACTTCTTACCAAACGGGACGAGCATTACTGCAGATGTTTAGTGTGAAGAATTGAACACAAAGATGGAGAAGCTCGCACGTCTCCAATCAGCTTTGGTTAATCGCTCCCTGCTCCTGCACGTCAACGCGCGACCTTATACTGTACAACAGACAGTCTTCAAGTTACAAGAGTTTTCGTTGGAAGCTCTCCGTACTCCCCCGTCCCTATCCACCGTAATCAACAAACCATGCACCTACAGACTTCTACTTTTTACAGAATTTGCATTACGTTTTGGCGAGAAAATAATTCAATAAACGAGAGGTACAAAATACCTTTGAAAAATTTGTTGCATCCTGTCCAGCTGATTTCTTCAAGAAGGGCATCAATAAACTGCCACCGCGTCGGCAAAGATGCGTCGATTTCATGGGTGATTGATGATTAATTTGATTATTAGAAATAAAAAAATTAAAAAAATTCACGTTAACTTATTTCATAAAAAACGGCAATTTCATAGGTATAGACCGAATATTTTCCTTTGTGGAAGCGGACAGAGAGGATCGATCGCCAAGAGACCGATCCTGACTTACCACTTTCGCGTCATATTACATTTTTAAGCTATTGCATAAGTCGTAGGCAATGAGCGCGGCGACCGAATCAAGAAATTCCTAAAAAAACCTAAGGCCCGAAAACCTAACATCGTCTAACGTCGTTTAAGTTCGGCAGACTTCGGCACGGTGTTTGTGTGCGTGTGCTACTAGACGTATCCGTGTAGAGTGTAGACTAGTTGCATGTAAGTATTGTAAGATAATAAAAATATTTTAAACAATAATATAGTTTATTGCAAGAAGCATATTCTTTGGATTTATATGAGTCGTCATGCTACCAACTTTCGTGAATTTAGAGTATTTAATAAACACAGACTTTATAGAAAATTATCGTTTGTTGGAAGAACTCTTTAACTACCATAAACTTATAGTTTCAATGATAAAAAATCCTGAATAACCTAAATCTATTGTAAGATAATAAAAATATTTTAAACAATATTAACTTGTCATTTATTCAAAAAAATTCGTATTTTTATTTGAATAAATGACAAGTTTCGTTTTAATATCATCGGTCACCACGCTCAAAAAGTGTAACTTGAATTAATATCAAATAAAAAAATACTGCATAAATAAAATAAATAAATAATTATAATTGCGTAATTTGACAAAAATGCTACGCAACAGCTTTACCGCAGCAGTCCCCGAGTGCTACACGTATTTTGTTTTAGTATTTATTGTAGGCCTCCAGTTTTATTCGTGGTACTCTCGGTTTACGTGGGTGACCTTCAAGATAGCTTAGGGCGGTCGTGATTCACGGGAAGTTTCGTTACAGTCATGTATTATATCGTGGGTTCCACTGTCATTAACTAATGGATAGGGAACTATGACCATTTTTGTTCGGGTTTTGTTTTTGACACTCCTTTTAAGTCTGCTTGGAAAATAAATCTTTCAGTTACCATCGTCTTAATTGAATCCATCTTTAGTCGTTATAGCGATCAAACCGCGAACTCATAGTATCAAGAAAGCCCCTTCTAAGTTCACGTATTGTGACGGGCATGGAACCCTACATTGTGCATGGCCAGACATGTTTATGGCCGATTTTTTTTTATTATAAATGTTACCATTCTTGCTTTAGGAAGCACTTCGTCTGGCGACAGTGGCGGGTGATCAGGGCTGCTATGCGAGAGCAGTGAGGATAACAGGCGACGTGTATCGGCGGAAGTGCGACATTGGGAAAGCCCTCAGGTATATTAATTTTAATTATAAAATAAAGGTGATAAACGACCATACAGCCTCGTATCTATCTATCTATCTATCCTCGATTAAGAATCAAATAGCATAGGTATGTATTATTACACCTGAGGTCTAGCTACCTAAGACTGATAGATGCAGGAAATAATGTATGGTGTTGTGTGCGATCCTGGTCTATAATAATAATAATAATAATAGCCATTTAATTCCCAATTTTCATACATCAGTCGATATTAGTTAAAACCAATTACAATATTATTATGAGTCATGCAATTTTTTTAATGACATGTTAATGCCAGTGTCAATTTTAAATAAAAGTTTAAATTAAATTTATAAAATTAATTTTTGATTGTTTATAAATAATGTTTGGGTAAATAATCAATTTATATTTTTAAGTAATTGTCAACTTATTTTGATTTTTGTCATAAAATATATAGTTAAAAATAATAAAATTGAAGTTAATAATAATCTACTGAATTTGGCTATACCCATTTCCGGGTGAAGGCCTCCTCCATCCTTTCCATGAGGTTCTGTCTGCCGCTAGTCTCGTCCACGTTGCTCCTGCCACCTCTACAATGTCGTCGCACCATTGTGCCCTGGTCTATTATCGATATAATAAACTGCAACGTTGATCTACCACTAAGAAATTAATAATAATGCATGAATGGGTAAAACTTATAGGATGCGATATATTGATATGGACATTATGTTTCGATAATTTTTATAAAAATATTTTTATTTTCAAAAAAGTCAGATTCCGAACCCCGAATGCACCATTGTTAATGTTAATTGCAATTTTAATCGCTAATTCACTGATTCATTAGTGAAGGGTCAATCCTGAAAAATCTACGAGTCAAATTAATGAAAAATATCTCGAATGAGAGAAGTGCGGCAACACGCGTGAGGGCAGCGTAGTAGTGCTACGCTAGTGTAGCGCTACGAAAATGTAGCGCTACGGAGTCTACTTTGCTCCAATAACCCTCTCAGAAATTGATGAGGCCTCTGACATGTGGGACGAATTTAAGCGGATACGTTATTTTACTTTACTTGAATTAAAACCCCTTTTTTATTTGATCCTATGATTTGCTAAGAAAATCATTTAACACAGTTATTCAGAGCACAGGCACAGAGTAGCCAGCCTCTTGTTATTCTTAATCCCTCCCTCACCTTTGCACCATTTCATCAGACAGTTGCCAATATTTCACGCAACCAAGAATGACGACAAACGATTTGCTTCGTCATATGTAATGATTACGGCGAAGGAGCAAAATACTTGCTGGCGTCTGTCTTTCTGTCCGATTACAATCAAGACAAGAGTGAATTTACCATGTACGGTTTTATCATCACTTACCACCAGATGGAATTGTAGCAACGGCTTATAATAAGTAAAAAAAAACGACGGGTTGCACTCCGGGAGTGCCGGCAGAAGTGAAAACTTGAATATTAACGTTGTGCATTTTTGATATTTTGAAATGGTTAGGGAATAATTTTGCACAAATTGCTTTAATTATGAGTATAAAAGTACTATCATTTATGTGGTAGAATACAATATTTATTTATTGCGCTATCGTACACAAACATGACAATTTATATTACATTCGCTCAAGCGGCCTGCGCCGCCTAAACGAAGAAGCAGGCCGCCGCGCAGTAGAAAGAGAGGGGGATACTTCCCCTCCTTCGCCGCCCGTCTTACGCATTTTCGATTAGGGTCACGTGTCCTGACGTGAGTTTAACAATTTTCACCCATCACAGAAAAAGTGTCCAACGCCGCTAAAGAAGTTTTCACTTCAAAAACGTATTTCAGGCACTATGAAGTAGCGATGGGAGCAGGGCAGGCGCTAGGCGATCGATTGGCGCAGATGGAGGCGATGGACGGGGCCGCGCGCTGCCTGGAGGCGCTGCGCCTGCAGGGGCGCATCTGTAACTGCCGCCCACTTGAATTCAACACACGACTGCTAGAGGTCGCCACATCCGTCGGGGCTAAGGTGAACCCTTACTGTTTAGCCCACTTCAAAAAACAAGTTTTACGATCGACTGTATGTATTTTTTCCAACGGACTTCAAAAAAAGGAGGAGGTTCTCAATTCGACTGTATTTTTTTATGTGTGTTACCTTTAACTTTTTTCCAGTTGAACCGATTTTATAATTCTCTTTTATTTGAAAGCTGTTGCTTATTATGTGGTCCCATATAAATTTGATCAAAATCTGACCGATTTATTGCGCATTTAATTGACTTCGACTACATTGATGTTGTTTTAATTCTGTTTGTATTGAAGTCGCTTGTATAAAAAATTAATTTTATCACTTGTTTTATGTATGTTCACCGATTTAAGAGGGTTTATTTGCATGAAAAAGCTGCAGAAAGATCTTAACAAAATTATTAAATCTCTTATTCACCTTCGATTTCGGTTGTACTCTGTACTTTCTATTTTTTATTCCAAATATCCGGATTATATTTTTGAGATAATTGATAGAATCAGGCTTCTTTGCGAAATAAAGTTATGCCACGTATCTTCTATATACGAGTACTTAGCGACCAGCCACCGTAGAGTCTACATTACCTGAGGATGCCTCGTGTAGAGGCGAAACACGTGTCGTTTTATCGTCGATGGTGTGTCTTTCCTGGAATAGTGGTGGAAGTAGTGGTGCTGGGAGTAGTGGTGTTGGGAGTAGTACTGCTGGTACTAGTGGTGACGGGATTAGTGCACGCAATTGAGGGAAGGCGGGAAGTGCTCTTCAATCCAGGTAAGACACATCATTGTAATTAATTAGTTAGCGGAAGGGTGCAAATTAATCAATACTTTATTATATGTTTGATGTAATATACTAAACACAGATGCTAGTGCGCCGCGTCCGGCTTCGCCTGGCGGAGATCTACACGGCGCTGGGCGACAACAACGCGGCCGCACGGCAGAAGCGCGCGGCGGCCGCGTGGGCAGCGCCCGCGTGCGCGCTGTGCCGCGAGCCGCTCGCCGACCGCCCCGAGCCGCTCGCCTCGCTGCCCTGCGCACACATCGTGCACCACGCGTAACTGCACTCTGAAATCCTATATCTTTAAGCGAGCAATTCTTGTATATATATAATCGGTATCTCGGAAACGGCTCCAACGATTTTCATAAAATTTTGTGTCCAGGGAGTTTCGGGGGCAGTAAATCGATCTAGCTAGAAATTATTTTTAGAAAATGTCTTTTTGTACGTGTTTTCAGGCAATGAAAAACTGCTACAATATAAGAAGGTAAATTTTGATATTGTGTTAATGATCGTAATAGCTCAAATGGATATAGAGCGGTCGGAAAATCGTAATGATGGTTTCAAGTTCCCTTATGTTGTGAGAAAATCTAGTATTTCGAGCCCTTTTTTGAGTATTTTTCAAAAATACGAAAATTTTAATTAAACTTATTGCATAAAATATTTTAATTAAAACCGAGCAAAGCTCGGTCATCCAGGAGCGGGAAACAGGACGCTGCCTGTTGCGCTCTCTGTTGCACTTAAGGTGGAAACAGACGGTTCTCTCGAAAGAATGTTTACTCGAGTGAATGCTTCATTTTTCTTTAATTAATATTCACACACAGCTTAGCTGGAAAAGACTCACCTGCTCTTTTCTTTCAACATGTCGTCGAATGATGCCATGCGTCTTGAAATTTTTTTATACAGTATAAGGTTGACAAGCGAGCACACAATTCACCTAATGGTAAGTGGACGCTAAAACCCATAGAACTACATTTGTACTCGATTAAAATGGCGGCACCCCTGAGGACTAGGATGGAATGCCTCGTTTCCAGTAAAAAGGGTCTCCGGTTCTCTACACTCACCATATGAAACACAGCAGCATTAAGCTGATTATTTAATTATGGAATTAAAAACAAAGAAGCAAAGAAAACTTTGTTTCGTTTTGTCTCTATTTTATTCATCAAGTTATATGCCAAAGACATTGATAATTTTTAAAATTGTCCAAAAATGCAGGGTATTTTGATCGTTCCACTTTTTATCTAGAGACCATTTTGCCGCGACGGTTGTCCTGACATTTGTTTGCTACATGATTCTAGACAAAATGGCCGAACCCGAGTAAACGTTCTCCCAATGTTTAAATTATTCTTTTTTTATTCATTCGGAGTGGAAATGAATGATGCCGAATGCCAATATTCAACATTGTTGCATCGAATCATTGCACTCATTCGGCACTTTTCTTTCATTCCGTGTTCAAACCTTTCATTTGCGGTGATAGTTCCCGAAAGAAAGACAAAAATGAACGAAAAATGAACCGTCTGTTTCCACCTTTACGGGTCTTAAGGCAGACAGGAATAGTGACGCACTACTGTCGTGTCAATGTGTATATTATGAAAAAGTAAAGAATGAAATATAAAAAGGAAACGATCCAATAATTAAATTTGTTATTGGTCAAAAATTTATGACACTGTCGTCAGATGAGCTGCAAGCTCGTTTGCCTCCATTTATATTTAAAAAAAAATCGAGGTATGGCTGTGTAGTGTGTTTTACGTGAATACGTAAAGAAATGTCCTCAAAATGCGGCTCTCTCCCCTGCGCAGCACACTATATGTCACAGTCCTCACTCAACGTAACAAATTCTTTGATCTTTTAGCTATCGAGTGATGTAATTAAATGTTGAATGCATATGATAAATATATAGCTGCAACACCAAACTACATCCCCTATTTTGTTATCATTAGTTTTCTGAATTGCCTCAGCCTATGGAAGCAAATTTAAAGTCGTAGTCACGTCAAAAAAGTCCAACGTGAAATGGTGTTGTAATAATATCCACGACCCTATTGCATTGTCACTACCATATCGTCTCGTGGCTGTCATAGGAGGCGACAGAGAGAAACAAGGCGGGAGATGAGCATCAGCGTCTTCCTTATAACAAGCCGGGAGATGAGCATCAGCGTCTTCCTTATAACAAGCCAGGAGATGAGCATCAGCGTCTTCCTTATAACAACTAAAATTAAAAAAAAACAAGTGTGCTTATCACACGCAGTTGAAGTGAAACCTGCAGAAAAATAAACTTCGAGAGAATGAGACGATTGCAGAATATCAGGCGTAGAATAATTGTACTAGGTTATTAAAATATAAATAGACTTTAATAATCACTGAATATTATATTCTATCTCATCCTTTCGCAGGCTAAATCTTATAGATAGATATATAGTATTACGTTTGTCTCTTTTTAGTGTCGATTTTTCGTTTCATCGAGTTTCAAAACGATTCTAAAATAGTTTTCACTTCAAAAATATCTCTTAATCACTTTAATAATCCGCATGCCAAGTGTAGCAAGTATGGTAAATATATCCCCGATGACCCTAGGAGGCAATCTATAGAAGAGGCCTATGTTTGGCGGTGGATTTTGTAACTTAGGGACTGTAACGGTAATGGTAACGGTAATGTACTTCAAGTAAAATTTCACTTCGGCCTGTCTCAATGGAGACTAGCCGTCCGCGCAGAATAGGATAGATGTACGTGGAGGGTGCGCAAACACAAGTACACTATTCTCTCGCTCGCATACTCCAATAGGACAGCAACCCAACACGACCGTGGAGAGAGGTGAGGGTACAGGACCAACGGTGTCATGTGTTTTACGAGTTTATTTTATGGCTTATCGTTTGGGACGTCTGTTCTTCGGGTTACATCTCAGTTAATAATATTTAATGTTTACCAGATGCATGCCCGAGTCATGGTCGCGGCGGTCGACTCGCGGCACAAGTGCGGGCGTGGACTGCGCTGAGTGCGCGTCGCCGCGTGCGCCCCGCGCCCCGCCGCCCGCCCCGCCTGCCCCACCCGCTCCACGCACGCTGCCTACACAGGTACTTCGTATTCAGGACAACATCCACTATCATTACTTTTCTTCTTGTTTTTAAGCTATTGCATAGCTTTTATTGCGGGCTTTGAGCGCGGCGACCGAATCAAGAAATTCCGTAACGAAAAAAACGTAACACCCCAAAATCTAACATCGTCTAACGTCGTTTCATTTCGGCAGACTTCGGCACGGTGATGTTTGTGTGCGTGCGACTAGACCTAGTATATAGTGATCTGTGGACTAGACGTATGCGTGTAGACTTGTTGCATGTATTGTAAGATAATAAAAATATTTTAAACAATAATATAGTTTATTGCAAGAAGCATATTCATTGGATTTATATGAATCGTCGTCATGCTACCAACTTTCGTGAATTAGAGTAGAGTATTTAGTATTAGAGTTATTAGAGTATTTAATAAACACAGACTTTATAGAAAATTATCGTTTGTCGGAAGAACTCGTTAATTACCTTAAACCTATAGTTTCAATGATAAAAATTCCTTAATAACCTACGTGTATTGTAAGATAATAAAAATATTTTAAACAATATGATAAAGATTCCTAAATAACCTACGTGTATTGTAAGATAATAAAAATATTTTAAACAATATTAACTTCTCATTTATTAAATAAAAGAAAAAAATTTGTTTTCTTATCGGTCACCACGCTCAAAAAGTGTAACTTGCATTAATATCAAAAAAAATTGAATTAATATCATAGAAAAAACTTGAATTAATATCAAAGAAAAAAAACAAAGAAAAAATACTGCATAAATAAAACAAATAAATAATTACAATTGCATAAGTTTTTTTTATTTATTATTACACAATTATAACATCATTACAGTTATTAAACCAATGCGATGCTATAACTAACCTAAATATAAGAAAACTACTGACTAATAAATAATGATATCTAGTATGAAATCTATCAAACTGATAGTAAAAAAATACTAACTAAAAATATTACAATTTTCAACGCATTTGTATGCTGCAATTATGAATGTCGTCTCACTACATGCTAATATGTGAATGAATATCCTGTGAGATGATATTAACATAGTGTATAACACGTGACAATGGTGCATTCTGAAGCAACTTCGTCCTAGCAGCGGGCACAAGGAGTAATGGGGGACGACGACGAGAACACACGTAATTATTGGGCACCCGCAGCTTTAACGCAGCGAGCACATCTGGGTGATATATTTATCAATCCACGTAATACTTTCCACATATTTAATAAGCGTGATGTCTCTTCTCACACTCAGGCGGCTGTAACCAACCATTCCCAGTACAAACAGACTCGGATACATCAGTGGAAAACAAGGACAGATTCCGTACTGCTTAAAGTATAAAAATCGCATGAATTTATTTTGAATATTTTCGACCATGACACTATACTTGCTTTCACGTGGATTCCAAATACTTGCGTTCGTTTCAAGTTGACTTCTTACGAGAGCATTATATAAAATTCTAATAGTAAATGGATTCTGAAAATCCCTGCACTGATTTAATATAAAGCCGAGACTCCTAAAAGCTTTTTTACAAATATTTAAAATGTGCTTACGAAAATAAAGTTCCGGGACCATCTCAACGCCTAAGTCTCTAATATATGTAACGCGCGGGATTACGAGGCCGTTCATTTCATAAGCATACTTCTGAAGGGCTTTTGCACGATAATTCAATTTGTTTTCCATTCCCCACTGTGCCAATCTGTCAATGTCCCTTTGCAGACTTTGGCAGTCAGAAGCATTGTTTACTTTGCAAATTATTGCTTGTAAATATCCTTTTAATCGAAGGCTATCCCATAGTATAGTTTAAACAGCAATTACAAATACAAAAATACAAATACAAAATATTTTATTTCTTTAAGTGTACATAAAATGCAGAATATTATTTAGAAGCAGTTAAAACCTAACGATGATATATAAATATATCGTTCAGTTTTCGTGGAGACTTTGATGTATAGTTATAATGTTGACCTTTGACTTTTTACATATTAAAATGCCATAATAAAATTTTCATTTTTCTGCTTGATTGTACATGCGCAGTGGACTTTATTTAATTTCATCTTACGTGGCACGACCTATACCAGTCGGTACCAGTACGCGTGACGAAATGTACTAGAATGATTCGGTCACTACAAATGAATGATTGACACGTGTCTACCGTACTTAACGGGATTTGACGGGATTATAGTGTTCTCTACAACGGGAGCTAGAT